TATATATATTTTATTTATATATTTATATAGAGAGATTAAATTACACTGGACTTGAAAAGTATAAAGAAAACCAAAAAATGTTACTATTTTTTCCTGCAGCACCAAAGGAAGCTTTTTTTTTTTTTTTTAATTGAAAACTTTTCCTTGGGGGAGCAGCCTAGCAGTATTAGCTGTAATAAGAACTCATTACATTACTCCTTTGCAAATTACTATGTGATTCACATAATTCCATGTTTACACTCTGCCACGTTATAATTTGTGATGCTCTTTGCCTGAAGATGCTCCTGGTTCCACTGTCATTACTTCTCGTCCTGTGTTCAGAGATTTGCTAGCAGTAGTGTGATGGCTATACTACAGTTCCACTTGGAGAATTGGCCTGGTTTTGGGATGACAATAAACCCTGCAAACAAAGCAGTTTACATTAATCCAGCAAGAGAACCTGACATTAATTTTATAAAGTTCTTAGCCTGAAGCTAAAATTAGTACAATTTATTTCTACCACCACTTGCTTACTTTAGACATCAGCACCTTCTTTCCTACAAAGCAATCTAAGCCACTATCGCATCAGTCAAGCAGCACACCAAGAGCTTTCAGTAAGAAAGTGTGTGCATTATGACACACCATGAGTCTGGTCCCAGCATTTGATTTAATCTACCTTGCATTCTGAGTCATTGTGAACTGTGAAGCTTTAAAAATCATACACCAAAAAAGTGATCAGCATTTTATTAGGGCAGCAACAAACCAACCTATTCCAATATTAACAAGCTTGACACCTAACCTGATACAGGGAAACACTCTTCTACGCTATTGAATGTTACAAGCTTTGAATAGAAAAATAGATTATCTAACCAAATATGTATTTTGGTAATTTTAAAAGAGAATGAAACACTGAGTAAGAGTTCAGTAAAGATTTCCCATTACAATTTACGCTTTCATTCAGGAAAACTTTTTTGCTAGCTCGTTTAACTATATCACCATTCAATAAAATGAGACTGACTTCATTTCAGCCATCATCCTGCGACTGCATGGCTAGACAGAGGCTGCTGTTCTGGATTAAGGCAACTATACCTTACAGATATGAATTGACAGATTTCAGATTTACGTATAGCAACCCCTTTTTATCATCCACATAAAAGTAACCATGTGTCAGCCTTTATTTAGCTGTACCAAGTGCCAGCAGGCTCGGGAGCACAGTGGCAGCTAGGCTGGAAGCACACCAATGACTGTCACTGTGCAACTCCTTACTACATAGGCACGAGAAATGCACTTTTAGCGGTTCCTCTAAGCAGCTACCAGCTTAGGTTCTTACCTCAAAATTAAGATCCTGTGACTCAGATCCATCAAACTAGACAAGCTCAGGCAGCAATTAGCACACAATGTAGAATGGGGTCACATCTTCAGAATCTACAGGAGCTCTTTCTTGCTTGAATCTGAGAACTGAAAGGTCGTGACTGATGGAAGAAAACCCCGACTATAGACAAAAGAGGTGGAAGGTGGGCTGGACTTGGCTGGACTCAAGTCATCAAGTTTCTACTAAAACCATAGCCCTTCCTTTTAGAAAACATCTAATCTGCCAGTTCAGACACATTATGAATCTGGATACATTTGTAGGATTTATGTGTGTCTGTACGCGTGCACACATTTACATACATTTATATGTAATGAAGTATGTGGCGCTTAATTTGGTGTCCTTCACAGATCACACCTGCAGGAACTGGAACACTATTTTCACTTGTTTATGTAGTGGATATCCGGTTCAAACACTGTTGAGGCAGACTGAAGTGGGCTGTTCTTTAAACTTGTTTGACATTCGGGATGTGCAAAGATACTGTATATTTCACAAAAAGAGAACACAAAGTTTCCTAGTTATTAGTTAAGGAAGAGATGGTGAAAAAAGGCAGAATTTTAGAGGAAACAAGCTACTGAAGCACTTCTGAAAGATTTTACCAATAAAGTTTTGTTTGAAAGTGATGAAGATGAATCAGAACTCTACAGTTCATTACCGAAGCATTCTTTAGAAGTGTATTAAATCCAGCAGCAACTGGAAGGCCTTTCATGCCAGAAGATTACATCCACTAAGCAACTTTCAAGTACCCTGGAAAAAGACGTCCAAAGGTATTATTTTCACCCTTAAATCAGAACATCAGTTAAATCACTTAAATCAGTGATCCAAACTGCTCATATGCAAATATGTGCTTTATAAGCACATAGAAAGTACCAGGGATAGCATAATATGAAGTCTTTCTCAACAGGCTCATAACCATGCTACGCAGACGAAGAGAAATAAGCACTATCCTAATATCAGATTTACACTGTAATGCAACCAATTGTTGGGCAACAAAATGAAGGCAGTCATTTTCCTACACCTCCTCTAGAAACAGGCAGCACATACCGAAATTCAGCGTGGTCCCTTGTTCTCTGTGAACTACCACACACTCTGGAATTCAAGTTCCAAGACAAGGAACAAGGAGTCACTCAGAACTGGTTTCACCTCCGAGACCGTGAATGCTCCCTGCTTTAGATAGCAGAAGTGCAGTGCAGGTGGCTCTGAGTAAATGAACACTAGGAACTCCTTATATTTCAATAGTTCCTCAAAATTAATTCTGCAACTCTGAGCAGACAAACCAGAGGAACACGAAAGTGGAAAGAATCTCAAGATCCATATCCTTGTGCTACAGCAGACAGACATTTTAAAAACTTCCCAAGTACTGCCTTAAAATTTGACTGCGCTACGATGGCATTTCCAGAACTCCACTTCTGTTACAGAGATCAGAAATTTAGTGAGTTCTTCCAAGTACTTAATTTCAGAAGCTGTTGTAGACCTTAGATTTTCATACAGGAAAAGCAAGACTTTTTTTTTTTTTTTTTAGGCATAGAAGTTTTACCAAAGTGTTCTTGGTGGTCCTTGAGTAACAAAAAAGATTCTACAGAATTTTGCCATTACATCAGAGCCTTATAAGCAAGGCCATCTAAGAAGTTATGTTGGGTGTAACATAGGAAGCTTTAGAAAGCCACACAAGAAAAGCAGTTGAGGGCTCAAAAAAGTTACAGTTTTGATACAGAAGTTACCCTAGAAGAGTCGCACCTCTAATACAAAGGGTGTGAGACTAGAATATTTGTAATTGCATTCTATGGAAATAATATGATGGATAAAGTTATAAAAAAATATAGAAAGCTCCTGCCTTTAAAGAAAGAATAAAGAAATTAGACCACAGTGCTTTTTGTGATTAAACCACCCAGTCTAGTCCACCAGGTGGTAAAAGATGGAACAAAAGCTGCAGCAATTTACTAGTGCAAAGCTGCGGTTTCACAGCCCTGACAGAAAACACACAAGAAATGGGATGCGACAACTGAACATCTGCTGTACAGTACAGTGCAGCAGCTTAGTTTAAGAACAAACAGATCATACCGAGCAAGCAGCAGAAACAGATTAAGAGACTGTTCAAAAAGGTTTTGAAGATAAATGTAGTTTTTTATTAGTAGTAGTATTTTGTCAGCATGTGGGTCTAGCAGCAGGTAGGAAATGGAACACTTGGGAGACCCACGTCAGGAACTTGATAAAACAATCTTCACCACAGCCTCAGAGAGGGTCCTCCAAGTAGGCGCTACATCATCTGCCATCCCGATGGAATACTCTACGGCTGAAATATGCTTCTTTTGCAGAGGGCAGGGTTGTTTTTGTTATACCAATCAGCAGTGTGAGAGTATTGAACACAAGCTGTTTCAGCAGCAGTTCCTAGGGCTACTCCACGTTTATCTATGCATTCTCCGACTTCCCAGAACACACAGGACTTCGCATATTTGGTAAAAATAGGTTTGCATGGGTAGGAATGAAAAGCCTAACACAGAGGATCAGTACCGTCATTTCCACCCAAGGGTCATGGCACTCATAGCTGTGGTCTATTCAGAAAGACCTGCAGCAGTGTTAAGACTAACCCTCCTTGCAATTTATAAGACAGGGGTGGATGGGTGGGCAGCAGTGGTGGTGGTTATTTTTTAAATAATTCCATACATGCTCCAGCCAAAAGTTTCCTTTTTTTTTTTCCAAAGATATGAAATACAAGGTTTCACAGCACAAATTAATTCTACAAAAGATCAGCACATAATTGCTGTATTTAAAAAAACTCAGGAAGATAATACTAAGCAGAAAAAAGCCATCAGTAACCGAGTTAATATTTTCTTCATGTAAATTAGAATGGGATTAATTCAAGCCAAAGATACAATCGTATGTAGTTTCACTGATCTAGATAATAAACTGCAAGTTCGGACATATGAGCAGGTCCATGTGAAGCTGATGTCTATGTGCTACTTCACAACACTCCTGGCACACACTCAGTCTTTGCCCTGGACAAGGGTGTGCTCCTTCCGTAAAAAAGCTCAGCTGACTCTCAGCAACTCACTGGATGTCAGAACTCTGCACGTCTTTCCTACTTTCTGTTTTGAAATTGAAAGGTAGAAATAAAAATCTCAGTGTCCAATGTAACAACCAACCAATGTAAAAACCCCACCTTTTCGGGCATATATACTTCAAAAGGTCTCATATTTCGTACACTTCACTAATACAATTAAACCAATTAAAAAGAGGCTGAATTAATGAATGCCCATACAAAAGTGGCATTAATCTGTTAAACCATTTCTGCTACTGCCAGTGCATGAAACATTAGGAATTTTTTAATCTGAAAAACCACATGGGTAGTTTAGTCTGGTCCAGAACTATGATATTCCTGGCGTAATCTGAAAAAGTAATCTGGACCAAAACCTTTACTTGACAAAAGAGCCCATGGTCCAATACAGTATTTGACCAATAATACACCAAAGCAGAATGCGATTTTTCACATTTTTTACAAATTCTGTAACAGTTTCTTATCCAAATGAATCAGCATTTGTCAGCAAAAGTCTCTGAACTGCATATACTCACTAAATCAGATATTAATCTCTAATTGAGTCATAAAATTAATTAATGAAGAATGTTCAAGGAAGCACATGCTGAACATTCACATAACATACTACAGAGAAATATTTTGTATGGAATTTAGTGGGTTACAGCAAAGCTCATACCTAACTTTACACAGTCTATAGGTTAACTAAACAGTTTTAAATACATTATTTGTCTTCCATTTGCTTTTTTCTTTTTCCTTTGTTCTAGTAGTGCTATAGAAAAGTATAAATGCCTAAGCCATTTAACAGCAGATCCTGTAAAAGCATGTTGCAGCATCCAGGAGGTTTCACTTGCAACTTCTCTTCTGTGTACATAATGGAGTTTTTCCTCCCAAGAGAGGTGTATCACCATTTTACTCATTGTCAACAAAAAGAAAAGTTAATGCTGCTGGAAAACCAGCGGACTAAGACTAACTAAAAATTTATCTAGTGGTATTAGGCATGATCACTTTAAGACTAGTA